GAGGCCTGGGAAGCCAGCGATGGTGCCTGGGGGAGGCTCCCACGGGGCCTGCTGAGGCCTCCGGAGGCCTGGGAAACCAGCGATGGTGGCATGGAGGGGACAGTATTCGCTCCATAAGACGCATGCACTTTTCTCCCCCAGTTTTTTTGGGAGAAAAAGTGTGTCTTATGGTGCAAAAAATACGGTATTTCATTTTAATACCGCCTATCTGCATGAGGCCACTCTGGGTGGGTTACAGCAAATAAATACCACCAAGTACTATTTAATATAAAAAATAGAAATAATAAAATAGAAATAAGCAAAAAACTCAAATAAGCATCAAAATAAAACATTTAAAAACATTCAAAGCATTTAAAACATTTAAGATGGCAGACTATGGATACATAGGCTAATTAGACTCAGCTGACCTTGCAGGTATGTTTTCAAATGGTTGTCTAAATAGCCAGGTTTTTAGTGACAATGCCCCTCTGCATTCTACATAGGACAATCTCTGTGCAAAAGGATTAATGGACATAATCAGGAAGGGAATACACACAAATTTGTTTCAAATCATTTCATTCTACCAGAACACTCTTTATAGCATTTGAAAGTCACAGTCCTAGGGGAAAAATAATGAGATAATGATTCAGAGATGGTTGAGATAAAATATGTATATACAGATGCTAGGAACCCATGTTAAAGGGTGAAATATCAGTCAAGGGTTCTTAAGTAATTACCAAATATGAAATGTTAGAATGATTGTGTTGTTACCTGCTGTTGTTATCCATAGCCAGAGGTTCATTTATCAACAAACCACTGTCACTTTTTACAGAAGAAAACTTCAAAGGAAATGAGCTGAATATCAAACAGGAGAATGCCACAATGGCTCATACAATTTGCAACTTGTGACAACTATACTAACCAACCACTGTCTTTCTGTATTCCCACCAAGTCCTGGAGGCCACGTATAGACTATTGCCATACAATCTCATTCTTATGTACAAACAAGTGGACTTGATTAATGAAAGCTCACATTAAAATATAGCATTTAGTCTTTTTAATGTTTTTGTTTTGTGTTCATTTTGTTTTATTTCTTGTCAGAGACAAACAGGTCGCTTCAGCCTTCAGCTAAAAGACACACTCTTTGGTAAGTAGAAACCATTCCTCCAGCAGACTGGAAGGTAAAAGAACCTGTACAATTGAGGTTACAATTGCTAGGATGTTTATGTTTACCAGCAGTTTGAAAGTCTATGATCAACTATCATTTTCTGTATAAAAACCTGAAGAAATAGATTCAATATTCACATTCACATCCCAAATAATACCTCTTAAGTCATTAAGGTACCACAAGACTATTTTGTTTTTTGCTACCACTAATGAAGATGGCTACGTCCATGAAAAAGTATGAAAAGAAAGTTTCAGACTACAGCCGCAGGCACACACTTACTTGGGAGTGACCTTGACAACTGCAACTTTCCTTGAATTTCCATTACCTTTGCTTTCTTAACAGTCATGATTTGCCAGGTACTTCAGCAGCAATTTTTGCCATCAGTCATATAAGGACAGCCTTCTCAGCATTAAAACTGAGAACATATGGCAAAAATAAAATAAAATTCATCCTGGCAACCTATCTAGATCACATCATAAATTATGCTGCACCCTAATATTTCCTCAAAAAGCTTGCATAAAAACCTAGTTAACGTTACTGAAAAGGCAATTCAATGAATACAGAGTGGAGAGTTTACTTTTCCTTAAAAAACAGCCCAATGCAAGAATCTGAGAGAGGAAAACAGCAAGAAGTAACAACAGAGGAACAGCATGAAAACAAAGGAGGTATGCTGCATCAGCAGATCTCTCTTTTATTTCTACTACAAGTAAAAACAGGTGCAAAAGAAGGGCAACAGAAGGCCAAATTGGGTTGTCAACTGAAACTATACAGCCCAATCAGCTGCAGTGACATGACAATACCAGATCTAGAGCCAACTAGATCCAGAGCGTTGAACATAAATTCCAACTGGACCAATCCGTAGGATCAAACTGCAGTTTGGTCACTTTGTACCTCACTCAACAAACTGAAATGACAAGGAAACTTGTCATTTAACGAACATAACACAACTGCAGTTTGGTCACTTTGTACCTCACTTAACAAACTGAAATGGAAACTTGTCATTTAACGAACATAACAAGGCCAAGCAGAAATCCACTAACTATGAGAGAGTTAGTAGCTAGTTGTTCTCTCTTTAAAATCATCAGCAACAAAAGCAGCACAGTGTTTCTGTTTCCAAGCTGTTCTTCTGAACTGGAATGGTTTACTGATATCAACCAACTACAACAGAACTAAAATCTCATTCCTTAACATTTCTTATTTCTCATCTCTCTTGGAGTTCACCCTTCTGAATTTCTTTTCGAAATTTTAGAATATTTAAGATGTTCCTTCATCTTCCCTCTCCTAAAACTTCCTGTTTGTACTTCAAGCAAACAAACTCTTTCCTTATACGTCACATTTTCCGACTACCTTACTGTCATTTCCCCTTCCTCAGGATTCTTTCTTCGCATATTTCTGAGTCGTGATGAATAAAGACACAAACACTCCGGGTCCTACTTTTTCAAAAAATCACATCTTGTGTTTTTTACATGACATTCCTTCCTCCAGCAGTCCCACGCTCATTTCATAGCTTAATTCTGTCCACTTATTTGGCCTTTGTTGACAACTGTACATATTACATTTTCTCAAAAGGAACAGTTTGGGCATCTTTTAAAGCAAAAATACATCATTTCCCCCCCAATATATATATATATATGATTATCATCATTCTGAAAAAGTTCTATAACAAAAGACAAACTTTTGAAAATCAGCATTTTATCAGGAGGCATTCTCTGAGAATCTTATTTTTTAAATATCAGCTTATATTTGTTTTCCATATAGGAAAAAAGATTCAAAACTACAATCCTATGACACTGAAAAGATTTCCTACTGAAACCCAGGGACTAATTTAAGCATGCTTAGGGTTGCAATGCAGGCTCTCATATCATTTGAAAATTATTCTTTAATAGATCACCTTAATTATTTCTATTTCACAAAACATTCAGCTTCTAAATCTTACAGACCATGCCTTCTTTTTTCTCTCTGCTTCTCCTATAAGCAGGAAATTCTACTCACCTTCCACGCTATCAGAACAGGAAGTTCCAATGCCAGTGTCTCCACTATCAGAAGCTATGCTGTGTCTTCTGATATGGGTACTTCGACCACTTGATGGACTAGTTGCAGTTTGCCACACTGAATCAGTACCAGGCACCCATCCTGAGGAGGAATATTCTGGGCCTGCAGAATAAGGCAAAAAAAGAGTCTCATTTCAAAATCAATGTCATGCAAGTTTAATTACAGCATAGCATACAAGGAATATCAAATAATAATGTGCCATCAGGTCAATTCTGACTTATGGTCACCATTTTCAGGAATTTTGAGGTGGAGAATGCACACAGATGTGGTTCACCATTCCCTTCTTCTGGGAGTGTAAGGAGTAGTAAAATTTTCAAAAACCCCTTTTTTGTAAAATTCTGCAACAATTTCTGTAGTATTCTAATCATGCGGTTCATCACAGAACCCAGAACCTCATCTGGATTTTAATGCAAACAGGAAACGTAACTTGTTAGCTGATGACATTTTGACATTGGTGTTACCTTGTTATAATACTGGTGTATACTGGCTAACATGTACTTTGAATATCCTTGAGATTCAGTACATAGTACAAAATTCTGTTTAACAAATCAAATATTCCTTTACCAGCAAGGCATTCAGAGGTAAGCAAGAAGTCCTATGTTCTAATACATTAAGAACTGTGTTTGCTCATGACTGTAAAAGGATACTTCCACTTTCACATATATAGTACAGACATACAATTTTTAACATTATTTTTTTTTACTTTTTTAGCTTGCTCCAGTGATTCTTAAGAGAATTCCAATTAATAGCATACACTACTACAATAGTGGCACAACCATATGGCACCACTAAATCATATCAGCATAGTAAGAAGTAAATCATCTACACAAAATGCTAGACAAAAAGAGTAGAAGGTTGCCAGGAAATAATACAGATTCAATTAGATTTGGCATATCAGTAGAATGCCAGTGGCATTTTGGCTTGTAATAAGTGCAATTAGCAAAGAATTCAGTAGCAGCAGCAATTAAACATAAAGAGAATACCAAGAATCAATTAACCAGTGGGAAATGTTGCACACTGTTGTACAATAACATCACACACACAAAAGTCATTTTAATTTTTATGTACTATAATACATTGTAGCTAAATGGGGAGGGGAGCTGTATTCAATTCACCTAGTAAAATTGTATAACACTCAGATACTCATTTTTTGTGATCTTACTACCCAAGTGGAATCTATTCAGGTTTTCTGTTTACTGTCTTCTAAGATGAGCATTTTCTAGAAGGAACTAGAAAAGATTATCAGGTGTAAGGAAGTGTCACTGAAGAACAAGACCATTCACACTCTTGTATTTTCAGTCACTATGTATGGGTGTGAAAGCTGGATAGTGAAGAAAGCTGACAGGCAAAAAAAAAAAAGGATTCTTTTGAAATGTGGTGCTGGAGAAGAGCTTTGTGGATACCCTGGACTGCCAGAGAGACAAACAAGCGGGTCCCAGATCAAATGAAACCTGAACTATCTCTGGAGGAAAAAATGATGAAACCAAGGCTGTCATACTTTGGGCACATCACGAGAAGGCAAGGTTCTCTGGAAGAAACAATAACGTTACAGATGTGGTTCGGCAGCAGGAAAAAAAATAAGATGACATACAAGATGGATTGACTCCCTAAAGGAACCACAGGCTTCAGTTTACAAGAGCTGAGCAGGGCTGCTGAGGACAGGACATTTTGGAGATTGCTCATTCATACAATTACCATACATTGGAGTCAACGTAAGGGCACAAAACAATGACAAAGATAAGCATGAAATGAAGCCCATCTCATCCTTGTTCTCTCAAAGATACACGTCTCCCCCCTCCCCGCAAAAAAGGAAGAGAGATTGAGTCAAAAGAATCTGCGAAAAAGGTAGATAACATTACTATTAACAATAATTAAGTACCAAAGTACTATAAACATTCAATCTACACATAAACAATAATTGAGTTGGAAAAATTGTCCATACATCACACAAGCAGTCTGCAGTCTTTGGAAAGGTATCCATCATATAACTGTGTCCATCAATGGCCTTAGTGACAGATAGATATCCTCGCAAAAAGTGCAAATTATGTACTTTTACCTTTGCATGCACACTTTTTTCAATACGATTCAAGGCTAAGCATAAAAGGAAAAAAGTAGAAGATGCACTATTATCATTCATTAGAGATTTACTGATCAGATCTCCAAATTATATCTCACTTTAATACACCAATAAACTCAATCTTTCTGAGCAGAAAATATTTATGAGTACAAAATGCTGTTGTCATGGTAGACACCTGACATTACACTATGGCTTCCTAAATAACTTCTATTTAGGCTCATTACAGAATACACATGTAAGACCAAATATTACATGGAAGTTCAACAAAACTTTTTTAACAGTTCATAAAAGCAGCAGGACAAAAGAAACAAGCTAAATCATCTTGACTATCCTAACTAGAAGAACATCCCCACAACAGCCTATCTTTCTCTAGAATCAACAGAATTGTAAAGCTGGAAGGGACCCTAAAGGTCACTGAATCCCAGTCCCTGTCAATGCAGAAGATCCACAGAAGCTGTAATGTGAAATGGATTTGTTGTACTATAAACACTGAGAAAGTTACTTAAAAGATTAAACACTATCCAGTTATTAACCACCAAAACACAATTATCATGAAAATGCAAGAATAAAATACCCAAGACAGAAGTGCTTCAGGTATACTGTGCACAAAATGTATGAAAAAGATGCCCTTATATAGGATACTTACTCTTATATAACTTAAAATCAGATGCCTTCCATAAGATACAATACATTTTATGCTCAGGAATATTCTCTACTTAAATGAATTTTGACTGAAACTCATTTAAGGATGCAATCTAAAAACTTTATCAACAAAAAAAGTGCAATGTATCAACCATTCTAATCTTTATTTTTCACATTCAGGTGATTACTCTACAAAGATTTTGTACTTAATTACTGCAATATTATGCCATGGTATTTTATCAATATTATCTTTTTCACAACTTCCTTAATTACTTGGCTTGGAATTTGTTGTTGTTGTTCATTTCATCTTTATACTTTCATTTCAATATGTGGTATTAAAATGGAAGTTTTTTCTGGACCTGCTCCCCCTTCTACCTGCACACACAGCCTGATGCATGCTGTTTCGGTAGGTAGTATTGTAGGTGCTATGCAACATAGCAATATGAACCCGACACTTTAGCATGTCTGCAAGACTGAATACCTGAATGTTATAAAAAGAACTACAGAACACAACTGTGCCATCTGACATGTATCAAATTTTCTCTTCCAATCTCTAATATGTTCCCTTCATCTATGCACTTGATTTTACAACACACATGCCAGTATCTGTAAAAGGAACTGTGCTTAACCAAGCATAACATAGTCAGAAAATGCATGAACACACCCATGATGGCCTGCCAAACCCATTATCCTGCTGTTCCTTCTTTAACCTTGCCAATCTGAGCAGACTAGCATGGTTAGCAGTTTGTGAGGATAGAGAGCAGAGACAGTAATTCACAGTGAGGAAAAGAGCCATTAGCGCAAATATTATATCTTTTTACAATCTTAAATGGTCAGATTCTCAGTAAACCTGCATCTCTATACAATTTTATTAATGTACATATGAATGATGTACATCCATCATTCATATGTATTTTCAGATATTCACCAATTCAGTATCTTACCATGTTGAGATTTATTCTGCATGAAACTAATTTCCATTTTTTTTAGAACTATGTAGTTAAGAAGACACTGCTTTGAGGCTGCAGGTCTATGTACAATACAGTACTTATAGCAGAAGTTGTGGATTTTAGACAATAGTGCAAACATTTTTGTGCCAATAAAATCAGACCCACATCTTACTCCATTCCCTCTAGTTGGGACTTCCAGTCTCAGAATATGGAAATGATCCAAATGAAAATTTTATATACGGCAAACAATACAAATACCAAATACAACTACACAAAAGGCCTTTATTAAATTAAAGAACAGAATTACCAATAATATTTTTAAAAGCTACAGAGGCTCCGGAGCATTGCCACTCACCAGGTCTGGTGATTTAACAATTAGTAAGACAGGTGGGGCATCTTTACGAAACAGTTATAGGCTATCAACTGGTGGCCTTATCTGCAAGTCTATATACAAAGAAATTTAAAAAGGAAGGGGAGCAAAATGCTATCTAAACCATATTCTTGTTGTGTTTATGTTGCTGTATAAGTGATGTACTAGCAAAATAAACTGAATACAACACTCACTTTGCCAGAAAAACATCACTACAGTATTTAGGAATGAACACAACACATGCTTTGTCAGAGGGAAAACAACCCCAATTTGCTGCCTTCTGGACAAATAATGACCCAATAATATTAATCACAATGCTGGAGCAGAGAGGATAAGCACTGTCAATCAAGTGAACATCTTCCAGCAGCATTGGCTGCATAGCAACATCACACAAAACTACATGGGGAGATAGAACTAGACCAGTGGTCAGGGAACAGGAGTAAATTACCCCAAATGGCGTAAAAATGAGAATCCTGGGGGTAATGAGGACGCAACCCTAACCCCCCCTCCCTCCCTCCTCCTCCTCTTCTGCCCAGAGGAGGGTCCCCGGCTGCCTGATTGCCCCCCTTCCTGCCCCCTTCTCCTGTCCGGCTGCAACCGAGCCACAGCGGATGGAGGCTGGTGATGAGCAGCCATGGCGGAGGGTAAGGCTGGGGCGAGTGGCTGGAGCACCACAGCCAGGAGGAGCCTTCCTGTGGGTGGAGAGGTGGATCATGGCAGAAGTGGGTGAGCGTGGCCATGATGGCTGCCTGGGCCAGGATCAGCCCGGCCACGCGGCTTTCTTCAGCGGTGCCTCCACGCCGATCAGCTGGGCTTGGCGGAGCCTCTCACCCTCTATGTGGCAGCTGTCGTGGCGCGTGGACAGCAAGGCCCGCGGGAGCCCTGACGCTGAGGCCCAATGCAGCCGCCCCAGTGAGCCAGTGCCAGTACGGGAGGTGGCATCAGGCGCCCCCGGCAGGCAAGCCACCTGCTGCTCTTCGACGGCCACCCAGGAGCCGCTCGCTGGCGCTCAACCGGTTGTGTGTGACCTGAGATCCTTCCTTGCAAATCAAGGGGGTAATAT